ACTAATCATTAGATATGATTTGACACTAATTAAAATACATGTGATCTAACAGATCCATTGGGAAATGAAATGCATATGTTTGCTATGAATATTTATAAAATCAAAGGATTTAATCTATATCATATTCAAATTTTTCTCACCCCTTCAAGTTTTCGTTTTCACATTGAAAGTCGAATTAAAAATCTCCGTGAAAAGGTTTTTGTTATTTTTATGAGGTTTTGATATAAGGTTATTGAATTAAAGACTAAAGATAAAGAATGTATATTAATTGTTTTTGAGTTTATAAAAATGCTTTGAGGAAAAAATGGTAAACGCTTTTTGAATTATCAAAAACATATTACTCTAAAAAAACAAATACAAAAATTAAAATTTACTCAATAATATTTAGAGCTACTCTTAATATTTAAAATTTAAAATTATTATTCGATTCTTAATAGAAAAGTTTGTTTTAAAGTTCAAATAGAAAATAATAAATTTAAGTTTGTCTTTTTCAGAGAGAATTCCCTTTAGTGAATATTGTAGTAAAGTGAAAATATAAATGTTTGTGGTAATAGAAATCTAATAACAGAGAAATATCAATTTATTCGGTAAAAATAGTACAAGCAATACATATTTCAAGCACTTTTCGAGATTGAGACACAATGATTCCACAAGTCAGCACTCTTCTTCAAGTATTCTGTTTCGTGGGCAAGTAACATGGGTTTATCTGGAATATATTTAATAAGCGTATCGTGACACACTTTCCCTTCTTTGACGAGATCGTTGCAACAAGGATCAGAGATGGTTCCATTTTCAAAGACAACACCAGATTATATCCAACGCACACTTAGGAGTGATTTTTACAAGACAAGTATTCCATAATGATTTTGCTTCAGCTTCTTCGACTGAGAAAACCGGAACAAACACACACACCAAAGCTACAACGATGAATAGCGTAGTAATTTGAGAGCTAAATTTAGACATATCTACTTACGCTTGAAATGTACAAGAATTATTCTTATTTTATGAAAAACAAATGTAAGAAACAATGATTTGTATTTGTTATTTGAAATATGAAGTTATCTAACCTATATATAGGTCATTGAAATTATAACGTAACTATAAAAAAAACTATAAACTTAGCGTAATATTTAATGGCAATTAAAAATTTTGACAAAAAAAAGACTACAAAACTTAAAGTTAATGGTTTCTATCAACGTTTCAAATATAACAAATAAAAAACTATAGACAAGTACCGATATCCAATTCACTATAAGAAACAGATGATTAATTTTAACTTATTTCGATATTCTAAACCAAATTAATAATGAGTATGAGGTTCAAATTGAGATATATAGTTTTAAGCCAAATAAATTAAATGGACTAACTATTTATAATTATAAATATAATTAATTATTACAATTTTAAAAGCCTAACTCATATTGTATTTGAAAACTATTATTTCATTTATATCTAAAATCATTTTCCTCACAATACTTTTAATCAAAATAACTAATAAATGTTAGTAAAAGTTTATTCGAGATACAATTTATTCGAAGGTTTTCAAAGTTTTTATATGCTGATATGAGATCGACA